CGGGGGTGGGCGCGGGGGAGGGGAGGGGGGGGGGGGGCTTTACAACGCTTCGGAGTTACATTGCAGCGAATGTGCGTGGGCGGTGGTGGTGGGCGTGTGTGTGTGTGTGGGGGGGGACTTTGGCAAACTTTCGGGCCCTTGCCGCGAGTGGGTGTGGCGGTGGTTGGTGCGTGTGTGTGTGTGTGTGTGTGTGTGTGTGTGTATGTGTGTGTGCGCGTGTGTGTGTGTGTGTGTGGGGGGGGGGGAGGGGCGTTGCAAAATGCTGGGGGTTGGACATTGCAGCGAGTGCGCGCGTGCGTGGTGGTGGTGGTGGGTGTGTGGGGGGGTGCTTTGCAACATCTTGAATCTTGCCGCGCGCGTGCGTGCGTGTGTGTGGTGGTGGTGGGTGGGGGGGCCGCAAGGCCACGATCGCCCAATACCATCAGGCCCTGAGCCTTTACGAGCATCAGGCCCTAGGACTATTCCAGACGCTGAGGCCTGAATACTCAACTGCCAGAATACATTAAGACCCAACCACTTTGAACACCCCATGGCCCTCAACACCCTAAACACCCAATGATACCACGACCGTGTGACCCTAAAGCCCCATTGCCATATTAAGGCCATCTTGGTGGATTCGAACACGGGCGGCTGAGAATATTCAGTTGTGGCCAACTTTGGCTCAGTAGGTCCCATCTGGCTTCCCGGGGTTCCATTGGCCTCCATCGAGCTTCATTGGGTTGCGTGGTCCCCAGTAAGCTCCAGTTGACCCTGCGTTCGATTAAATTGGCATGCCCTCCAGGAGCCCAGTGGCGCACCTCCAACCATGTAAGTGCCAAGTAGGTAGCGTCGGGGAGGGTGGCTTGTATGAGTCCACGACAGAACTGTGCTGTAGGGGGGTTCTAAGTCTATGTCGGGGCGTGCTTCAACGTCCAAACCCACATGCTCGGCTCATATCACCTGTGCGAGGCCTTGGGGGACACGTCGCATTTTTGCATGTCGCTTATTGCGCTTCCCCCGCCATGGAGTCTTTAAGCCCACGCTTGTTCAATGGATTCGATGCAAATTCGCGTTGTTCTCAGGTCGCGCGCGTTTTGGGCTAGCCAGCACACGTGGAAATACCACCGTGATACAGTTGTTTCGGCAGCTGGTGGGCTCGAGCGCCTTCGACCTCATAGTTTCAGAAGCTGTCAGTTTTTGCCTGTGAGGTGCCACGCGCGCGTGGTGATGGCGCTCGGGAGGGGCGCCGCTTCGGCCGCGGAGGAGCCCGAGGCGACGGGCGGGCCCCCCGTTGCGGCGGGCAGAGGCGGCGCCGCGGCCGCCCCCACTGGCCGCGGCGCTCGCGGCAGAGGCGGCGGCGGTCGCTCGGCACCGCCCAAGCAGAAGGGGACGGCGGCGGCAGAGGCAAGCAGCAGCAAGGAGAGCACCATCGGCCCCTTCGCCGTTCGCCATGTCTCCGCCGACACACGGGCCAGCAACAAGGGCCGATGCGGCCTCTGCAACAAGAGGGTGTCCACAGAGAACCCCTTCCCCGACGTCAAGTTCCCTGGCGAGGCCGTCAAGAAAGTCACCGCGGGCTGCGCGTTCCACACGCTTGGCTACGTACGGGGCCAGTGGTATCTCGACCATGGATGGGTGCAGTTCTGCGGCGTGTGCGGGTCCGACCAGGAGATCTCCGAGGCCTTCGATCTGACGTGTAGAGTCGCGGCTGGCCGGGCCAGCCATGCTGGGGGCAGCCGCGACGTGGCCATAGAACAAGAGACTGGCGTCACGGTCTTCTCCGACTGCGTCCTTCTCACCGACGCGAACTACAAGCTCAACGTAGTGCCGAAGGGCGCCGAGGCGGTCACCATGGCCGACGCGGGCGAGCGCATCACCGAGCTCCACAACGAGCACCGCGACGAGAAGGTCAAATGCGTTCTGATCGCGGACCCCGACCAGCTCGTTTGGATCTCATTCCGGGCGGGCGCTGGAGGCTGATAAGACTTGCCGCGATGGGCAGGGCCATTCGACAGAGCAGAAGGTGGAGAAGTACATGAGGGACGTGTTGCCGACAGCGCTTCGGGGGCACGTCACCGCCCCAACCCTGGAGGATGCCCGAAAGCGAGCTCTCGGGGCTGCGAGGGCGAAAGGTTGCATGGCGGCGCCCCGCTCTGGCTCGTGGGCGGAGGGCGCCAGCCCCGCGGCCGCTGAGCCAGTCGTCGGGCAGCAACCGCCTCGGGCGGAACCGCTGGCACCCTGCGACGGCGAGGAGGGCGCGCGTGGCGATGCGGAACAAACTGGCGGACACCAGGGAGCGCCCGCCCATGCGAGCCCGCGCCCCCCTGCACCAGGAAGCGCCCCTCCAGGCGACCGCGCCGCCGACGCTCGCAGCAACGCAGATGCGATGTCGAACGCTGGCGGCGCAATGTCCAGCGGCGGCAGGAAGAAGACGGCGGCGGTATGCGACGACGATGCTGGCAAGCATCGGCTCCAGGAGCTGGCGCGCGACATCAATTTGCGCGGCGTCCTGGGCAAGGGGAAGGACAGCCATGGTTTTGGTAGTCGCATCTACGCGCTGGGGCGCAGCAAGGCGTCTGTGGAATCTGTGACTGATGCCCAGAAGAAGCTCCTGGTCGACATCGATGTGTGCAACTCGCTCGGCGGGGGCGCGGTGAAGACCCTCGCGGCCACCCAGAGGGATGAGATCCCCAAGAAGATCAAGCACGTTAACATCACCAATGCAGAGTCGTTCAAGCGGAAGCTCTGCGAGTTGCACCTCGAGGAGACCGACGGCGCGGTCGACAGGCTCGCCCTCTGCGTGCCTTGGGTTGCGGACCTCGACGAAGCGGCATTCTCGACGTCTACGCCGCTGTTCAGTCAAATCGGGCTTGCCACGGAGAAGCTCGCGGGGTTTTCGAGGGGCGCGTTCGTCAACTACGTGGTCAACGGCGTCGTCGAGGCGGACAGGGTCGACGAGGCAAACGTGGATGCCCTCCTGAGTGCCATCGACGACTACGTCGGCGCCAAAGAGTTGCGCGATGCCGCGCCAGGGGGCATGCGTGACTACGCGTACGAGCTGTTCGCCTTCAGCCAGAGCATGGCCGTTCTGATGGATCCCACTCCCACGGCGTTGACGTTCTGCCCAATCAGGGGCGACGCGCGGATGTTCTTGAGGGAGGAGTTGGGCGCGGAGTAGAGGCTTGTGGTTTCGTCGTTCGGCGAGGGTCTGGTTGAGATGCTTCGCGGATGCAACCGCGCCCACTACACAGACGCGACGCACGGCCCCAAGATGGTGGAGTATGCGACGCAGCTCAAGCAGGCCGGTATTACTTTCGATGTAAACAAACCAATACTCGTGGACTTCCAGGTCTGGGGCGGGATGTTGCGATCGGGGGGTGCGAATGACTTCTTGCACCCCATCTGCAGCGCCGTCTCTGGGTGGAGCCAGGGCCGACGCGTCGACACAGCGCATGGCGAGCGGGGCGACGAGGCAGCGCACGTGGCCGAGTTCGAGAAGGTCTACATGACTTTCCAGATGGAGGCGGTATCGTGGAGGGGCGCGGGCAAGGAGCTCACCCATGCCCTTCAGAAGGTCGGGGGCGACTTGGGCACGCTCCGAGAGTAGTTCAGTAAGGCATCGTCCGAGACGGCGCTCATCCAAGCTTGCGCCGCCATCGACCCGTCGCCCGACGAGAAACTGCAGAAGATCCGCGAGGTGAGGCAGGCGTGCGGGTGCCTGGTCTTCGCCAGGTATTCTACCCATAAGGTTCTCTTTGACGCCTCATCGACCTGCAAGTTGCACGGGATCGCCTCGATCAAGAAGTTAGCCCAGGCAGATTTCGACGGCAACGAGTCCGGCGTCGTGCGGCCCGCGCTCTCCGCGGTTGGCATCGGCATCTCCCTGCTCAACCACGTCGACAGGCAATTTCAGGAGGTGGCGGCCTTGGATAACGTGCTTGCCGTCCATTTCTTGCGCGGCCAGTCGGTCGAGTCGGACGTCCGTCTGCGGGCGAAGATGGGCACGGGTGCCGATTTCGGCGACGAGCCCGCCGTCCTGGCCCAGGAGACGAGCGGGCGCATGCGCGCAGCATCTGCCGGGCCAAAATCAAGAGCTCAGTTTTTGCATGTCGGTTGAGGGTTTCGCCCCACCAGCTAGGCACGGACAGCTTCCTTGTTTTTCTTTACCAGCCCCCTGCCGAAAATCTGGCAAAACAGCGTGGTTTTGGTTTGGCGAATGCGCGTAGCACTCGGTCGCCCACGCCAGGATTGGCAAGAGCATCGGACGCAGGCGAAGCTGCTCTTCGAGGGCGTCTGCATGAAGTTCACGCCCCCGCACGAGGCCCAAGCAGGCTTCCGCAGCGAGCCCGAGGGGCTCTTCAAAGTGGACGAGGGGGGTTCGACGAATGCCAACAATTGCCAAGTCGCCGGCCCGATCATGAGCACCGTGGGCGGCATGTACACGCTGGACATCATCGCGATCTTCGCCGAGTCGTTCTCGACCGTGCTTGAGTTCTCATCGGAGTACTGCAGTGCATCAAGGGGCCGCGAGTGGAGAAGGTCAACGAGCTCTGCAAGTCCTGCGGCGGCTTGATCAACAGTGATGGCGAGCACTGGGCCTCCAAGTACGTCGGCGATGACTTCGCTTCGTTGATGGACGTTGCCAAGGTAGGGCTATTCAAGCAGAAAGGGCTCGCTTCGAAGTGCAAGGCGCTCGAGAACGAGATCCGCGGCCTTCGAATGACTTGCGAGGCGGTGGCAACTGAGCACTACAAGGTAGCAGACTTCGAGAGGGCCCTGGCCGAGTGCAAACAAGTGCTCTCCAGGGCCCACGTGACGATGTGGGAGGCGAAGGCCACGCAGCTGGAGGCTGAGAGGAAGAGCTCCCTGAAGGACGACCTGACCAACCTGAAGGACGAGCTGCGCGACAGCGCGGATATGACTGAGCAGGGCGAGGCGCCCGCCGCCCTGGCGGAGGTGGACCGCGTGCTCGCGAAGGCGCTCAACGAGTGAATGCATCGCGAGTGGATGGAGCCATGTTGGCCGAGGGCGTGAATGCATCATGAGTGGATGGAGCAATTTTTGCCGACAGCGTGAATGCGCCGCGAGTGGATGGATCCATTCATTTGGCCGGTCGCGAATGCTGCAGCTCCACGAGTGGATGGAACTCGGGCCGAGACGCCCATGCAGCACAGGTGGACTGAGGATGCTCGGCCGTCGCGAGTTTCGGCGCCGAGTGCGTCGTTGACAACTTGACTTGGCCGAGCGTTCGAGCTCGGCCCTTGGCGCGTCTTTTGTGCTGAGGTGAGGGCCCCCGCACCTTCACCTCGCCATCGTTCCATCCCCGCTCTCTTGGCCTCTCCCCCTCAGCCCTCCGACTGCCCTCCTTCCCCCTCCTTCCACTCCCCCCTCCTCCCTCCGACTTCCCCTGCCTCCCTCCTCCAGGCCCGCCCTGGGCCCTTCCCTCGCTCGCGCGTTTCCCCTCTCCCCCCCCGCCCTCCGCTTTCCCCCCCTGCAGGGGGGAATGGGGATGATGGCGCGGAGCGCGAGAAACTAGGGGTGGGCGAGGAGGGCGATCAGGAATGCCAGCGAAGGGGGGGGGGGGGGGGGGGGGGGTATGCGGTGCGAGGTGGAGGGCGGGCGAGGACGAAGAGGGCTGCGAGGTAAGTGGTAAGAGGAGCAGGAAGTGGAGGATGCGGAGGACGTCGACGACAACGCAGGAGGAGGATAAGAGGGAGAAGGTGGAGGTGGAGGAGGACGCGGCGCGGCGCGGCGCGGGGCCGCCCGCCCCCTTACGCCGCCCTCAGCTTTACCGCGAAGGCCGCGGCATTGGGGGGAGGGGATTGGGGGGGGGGGGAGATAAGGAGGGGGGGGAGGAAGAGGCAGGCACACTGCGACGTAAAAAACAACTCGGTTGGAAGGAGGAGGAGGAGGGGATGGGGGGGGGGGAGGGGGGATGAGGGAGGGGGAGCATTGAAACGACAAAGGTTGGATGATGATGAGGGGGGGGGAGGGGGGGGGGGGGGGGGGCTTTTTTTGCGCTGAATGCGCTGCCATCCTCGGTCCGAATACTGTCGAGAAAAACACGGCCGATGCGTTGGGCTTGAACTACGCCGCACTCGCGTGCGATGTAGTTCGAGCTTAGGGCGGCCATCGGGCTTTTCTCGGTGCCCGACGCCCACTTTCAAGGGCCATCCAAACATCATCAACGATTTCTCGTTGCCTGGCAACGAAGAACAAACCCATCAAGGATCTACAATTCCTGTTGGGCGCAGAATCCGACCCATCAAAACTGATGCCACGTTTTACCATCAAACCCCCATCCACCCCAGCCCCCCCCCCCCCCCCCCCCTGTAGGCCCGAAGGGAAGTTCCAAGCCGACAAGTCACATATGCTAATAATGAGTATTCCCCGAAGGAATCGGGCGATGCTTGCCTCTTGGAGCTCTCCTGGGAGGGCTCCTGGCGGCCTCTTGGGACTTTCTCCGACAAGTCGCAGATGCTGAAAATGAATGCTTCCCGAAGGCCGAAGGAATGGCACGATGCCTTGTCCCCTGGAGCTCTCGTGGGAGGGCGCCCGGCGGCCTCTCCGAGCGTCATCGAAGCCTCGTCGGCCGTCCGGGATCCATCTGGAGCGTCCTGGACCGATCGCGCGGCGAGTTCGGGAGGATCGCCTGGAGCCCTCTTGACCCAGGTCGGGCATGTCCTCCTACAGGCGGATATTGCGAGGCAAAATGAACAGCGGTCACAAATATTCCAGAATCGTAAATTATCCCGACAAAGCAACCTAACAGCGATGTGTATCAGCACTTCTGGAAGTATTCCCCTTAAGATTCAGGTGAGAATCCAGTTGTAGAATTCTGCTGTTCTCGCAGTCGCAGTCGCATTCGCAATGGCAGTTGCAGTGGCAACGGCCTTGGGAACCAATGAAATCCTGAGGACTCCGAGGGATTCCTAAAGCATCCTTAGGCATCCTTAGGAATCCATAGGAATCCTTAGGAATCCTGATTCCTAGGGATTCTTAAGGATTCCGAAGGATTCCTGAGGAATCCTAAGGATTCCCAAGGATTCCTGAGGATGTTTAACTATGCCTACGGATTCCTAAGGGTGCCTACGGATTCATAAGGATTCCTATGGATTCCTGAGGATTCCTATGGATTCCTACGGATGCCTCAGCCTGCCTCAGTTTCAGCCTCAGCCTGCCTCGGCTTGCCTCAGCCTCAGCCTGCCTCGGCCTCAGCCTCTCGGCCTCGTCCCCAGGCTCAGCCTGTCTCAGCCTCAGCCTGCCTCAGCATCAGCATCAGCCTCAGCCTCAGCCTGCCTCGGCCTCAGCCTCAGCCTGCCTCAGCCTCAGCGTCAGCCTGCCTCAGCCTCAGCCTGCATCAGGCTCAGCCAGCCTGCCTCAGCCGCAGCTTGCCTCAACCTCAGCCTCAGCCACAGCCCCAGCCTCAGCCTGCCTCGGTTCGCCTCAGCCTCAGCCTGCCTCGGCCTCAGCCTCAGCCTGCTTCAGCCTCAGCGTCAGCCTCTCAGCCTCAGCCTGCATCAGCCTCAGCCTCAGCCTCAGCCTGCCCCAGCCTCAGTCTCAGCTTGCCTCAGCCTCAGCCTCAGCTTGCCTCAGCCTCAGCCTGCGTCGGCCTCAGCCTAGGCCTGCCTCAGCCTCAGCCTGCCTCAGCCTCAGCCTCAGCCTGCCTCGGCGTGCCTCAGCCTCAGCCTCAGCCTGTCTCGGCCTCAGCCTGCCTCAGCCTCCATCTGCCTCAGCTCGGGCATTCAAATGCACAGGACTGGTGTTCTGGGAACACGAAGATCACGGAATGGCCCACAGTTGGCTCCGGGCAATCAAAATATTGTACAGGAGTGGTTTTCTGGCAACAAGAAAAACACCAAATGGCCTACAGTTGGCTCCGGGCATTCCAAATGTGGCCTGGGACTAATGTTCTGGGAACACGAAGAACACGAAGTGGCCTGCAGTTGGGCTCCGGGCATTCAAGATGTGGCCTGGGAGTGGTGTTTTGGGAAGACGGAGAACACGAAGTTGCATACAGTTGGCTCCGGGCGTTCAAAATGTGGCCTGGGAGTGTTCTGCTTTGATGAACGCGAAGCAGTAAGTAATTATAAATGGTTATAGTGATGCGATGTTAGAATCCTATAAGAGGATTTAGGATAGGTTAGGGTGCTATTTCGACTACTATAGGGTGGCCTT